TGCAGTGCTCATCAGACCTTTGTGATTTAAGGCACTGAGTGGCACTTCATGGATATGTGTGTCGCTTACCACCAGGCGCACGACTTGTTCGTCCCGTCACTTTGTATGACAAAAACCAGTCAAAAACAAAAACTGCATCGAGGGCCGTCCTCGGGGCATTGTGTCTCAGAGACTGTATCTTCAACAGTGTGGAACTTATGATTTTTGAAGTTTCTTCCGAATCTTGATGATTGCACTATTACTTTCTCTACTTCAATCCGTAACATAGGAGTTTAGCGTTTAAAAATCGCGTAAATTCTTATAACAAAACACGAGCAACTTATTTTTTTCTAACCATAAAGTTCATATCCGTTTAAGAGCACTATGTGAGTGTATGATGCACTTGGTAAAATGTAGATTATGTCAGAGACATTAGCGCACATTATTTCTCCATCTACAAAGATTACACCAAATTGACATCGCGTTCTTATGAAACCGTGACTTAGAGTTGGGCTGCTATTGAGATATTATCGTTATATTTTTTTTTTGCTATAAAATATATTTTTCTAGCTATAGTGGCAATTAGCCATAGACTTTAATTTTTCTTAAATAATTTAATTTTCTAATATATTTTCACATTAAATCGTTGTCGCTACGGTGGCCATTTTGAAACTTCGGTATTGATTGTCGACGTTTTAACGTAATCCAAAAAAGGAGTTCTCAATTTCGACTGCATTTTACTACTTCGGCATTTGTGAACCGATTTTGATAGTTTTTTTTTTTATTGAAAAGAGGGTACTTCAGTATTGGTCCCATTTAAATTTGAAGAAAATATTCCACCTCTAATGTGGCAAACTAGGGGACGAATCCGATTTAGTGTACTTTCCGTAATCGATTTTAATAAAATTTGGCAAATAGTACATCTATTTTTCCACGAACTGTTGAGGTGGGTTTTTTCATAAAAAAGTTCTAATTTAATATATTTCGTGACCTGGATACAAAAAATTTCAGTCGTGAACAGAATAAATTAATCCAAAAAAATCACATGCTTCTCCTCTGTATATTACAAAATAGACCTCTAATTCAAAGTACCAAGTTTATTGGGGAAGCACCGGAAAGGGAGAGAAAGAAAAAATGGAAAATTATTATTTTGTTATTGCTCAATAAATTATTATTATTGTTAATTAAAATTAATTACAAATCGAATTCTTCGGTTTTCGCGATTGTTCCACATAGGAAATGAAACTATTTTTCCGGATTTTCAATCGTATATATTTGTTTTTTCAAATAAACCAACCTTTCGGGCCCTTTACAGGTTGGGACCTGTAAAGTCAACCGTGATCAGGTGAGATCACCTTAGTAAACCGTGACCATGGGACCTGTAAAGGGCCCGAAACATTGGTTGGTTTGAAAAAACTAATATACGCGATTTAAATCCGGAAAAATCGTTTCATTTCCTATTAATTATAAAAACTACCCAATTATTAGCGTAATAATACTTCAGTAAGAGAGTGGTAAGAGAGGTCGGTAAATAGTCTCGTCCACCCCGCTACGAATCCAAAAGCGTGATCACCAAAATGTAAAAGTTGAGAAACAAACAACAACATAAATGTTTTAGAACAAGGTTTCATTTTAGTTTTCAAATCTTCTTTGATGTATCTACTCATGTACACCGCAACAAAACTTACAATTTCAAAGTACACTCTACACTTAACCACGTCAATATACTTTCAAATTGCAAACGTCTCTAACTCCGAAACATGTCATAAATTTCTTTACAATATATCCTCGACTTGCTATTACAAGGCTGTTACATAAAAGTAACAGGTCGTCTCTATTCACAGCAGCTGCTTTATTTATGTAAATAGACGCATCAAAGTCGCATCTTATTTTTTGCGTGAAATTACGTTGTATAAAAAGTTTATGAACGTCTGAAGATTTCCTACGACCTGTTCCATGTGTAGCGGATCGGGAGATGCTACAATTTTTGTTTATATAAGTTCAGGTGGAGGACGAAGAACAACTAACTGTATTTTGAGTCAAATGTTTTAAACTCTAAGAAGAACAGATAAAGTCTTATAAGAATTTAAAAATACTCTAGACTTGCCTTCGTTTATCAGCTTTACATGTTTTAACAATCATTACCGTAAATTCAATACTTAGGGCGCATTTGCTGTCCTAGTCCTTAGCTTAGCTGCGTTCGCGGTGTGACCTGTGCTTTATGTGTCAAGTTTTATCGAAATCGGTTAACGGAATATGATCAAAATAAATGTATAAATATAAACAATTAGACAACAATAATAATAACGCACACACTTCTTGCCCCAAACTACCTCCCTCTCCTCTCTGTCGGCACTTCCGTGCGGCCATGGAGGCAGTGAACTTAGGGATTTCTCATATAAAAATTCAGACACTGTACAGGTAGTTATATTTTATTAGTTAATAAGTTCTTTAATTGCTTCAGACCTTACTTTTGGGCAAATTTTTGGCGCCATTACAAAAATATTTTTATTTATGCTTTTAGTTTTTGAAATACGTGACTTTACGAATGTCATCTAGGATCATTCTAGATTATTTTTAGTATAGTCACTTTTTACGATAACCACGCTAAGATGTAAGTCCTAGACATAAAGTCTATTATTATAATTTGTTCAAATATAACGTCCATTATAATGTTTGGCATGCATTAGAAGTGGTATGTCACTTTTACATTATAAATAATGGGCAGAGGGGTAAATAAGTGAAAACTAACTTGTTACCTCTCCTCTCTCTTGTACCATGGCCTACTTCTACGTGTTACTTAGGTTTTCTATAGTGAACCATTTATTATAAATATTCAAATAGGGTTTTTTTTATTATACAAAGTTACGGGACGAACAATTTGCAGTACTACTCAGAGCTTTCAAACGCAAAGATCTTAGGGGCTCCCATTGCGCCGGTCACCCTGAGACATAAGTTGACAAGTCCCATGTGCCTGTAATTTCACCAGCACCCTTTCTCTTCGTAACCGGAACGCAGTAATACTCACGATTTAGTAGCCTAGTGTTTGGTATTGTTTTAATAACTGGTATTGGGTTAAGAGCTCTCATGCCAAAAAAGTTTTGACATTGGCTCCGCCCAAATTTGTGAAACAAATATATGCCTGAAGTTCGCGTGACATGCGAAAGGGGATGTTGAATTTTGCGCATTAAAAGTACCAAATTCGTTTTAGCGGAATAACTCTAAAATTAAAGGGATTAAAAAAAAATCCGTAGTGACAGTTGTCGATCATGCATAAATATAATTAATTATCTAATTTTTGTCCTAATAACCTGTAGCATTTCGAGGATAAATCGAAAAAATTCGAAAATTAGAGGTCATTTCGTGATTTTTATCTATCGAGGAAACTTTATTGTTTTATGTTTCTGATTAATGTCTATGCTTGAATATATCGTGTAGTTACTCATACAATATTTTATTTTTAACTTTAAAGTGGATATACCCCTCTAAAATCAAATCGAAGATTAGAAATATTTCCTCTGCTCCCTCTTAAGCTTATTATTTATTGGGTATTTCAACAAAACTTATAAAATATTCAATAAAACTAATGCTATAAATGCGAAAACCACTCCGTCTGTTAATTTTCATACCTAAACCGCTGAACCAAATTTCATGACTTTTGGTATAGAGATTGATGAAAACATAGAAAAAGGAGATAGGCTACTTTTTGTCACAAAAATAAATCTTAAAACGGATGAAATTGGGGATGAAATTTTGTATAAAGAACCAATCATTTCTTAATAAGTAGTACAGTAGGCTACTCATAATACATTTTCTACACAGACGAAATTGCGGGCACCAGCTAGCACAATGTAAATAGCAATATCTATGTTAATGTATGTATCCCAGTCATAGAGAAACACAATGTTCGCTTAACAAGATCGAACAAGAAAACTTCATAATAGTGCTAAATACTTACAAATATATTATAAATACACAATAAAGGTACAATTAGAAATATACGCGAGTAAGTCTCCTTCACATTTCACTTACATACAAGTCATTGAAAATATAGAAAAAAAAGACACTTGACACTTGAGATTTAAATTCAACTCTATACTACTTTCTATAAGAACGGTTCAAAATGTAAAAGTACTTGTAACTTTTTTTATTACACCAAGTAATGGAAACATTACCGCGTTCCGGTTTTGAAGGGTAAGGGTGTTGGTGAAATTACGGGTACATGAAACTTGTCAACTTATGTCTCTGGGAGAGAGGCACAGTGGCCGTGCCCATCAGATCTTTGCGACTTAAAGCTATGAGTGGCACTGCAACTGCTACGGACAGGCGTGCCCGTCATCCCGTGACTTGGTATCATAAAAAAAAAGAAGTGGCAAAAATTTAAATTAAAGTAAAAAAATTGAATAATAATAAAATCATTTTAGACAGTAATTTTACAGGGTTCAAAATGTAGTTCGAAATAAATGTTTAATAAAAATCGATAAGTAAAGTAAAAATGTACATTCTTAGGAATTTAAAAAAAAAAAATATATGTATTTATTATGTCAAATATAAACTAAAATTACAAAAAATGATGTAAGTTACAAATAAAGTAGTAACCCATAAAGTTTGACCAACATGTACATTATGCCCAACATTATCATTATTTTTATGACTACAATTGTCCATTTATTACGCTGTTTATATGCAAACACATTACCATCAATGATATAACAAAAGCTTTTATCTTCCACCATAATTATTCCAGGCATAATAATTATCTTTGAAAACGTAGCGGACGTCGTAATTACAATCTCAAACCACCGGAACATAAGAACGAATCACTGCAATTCCCGTTGCAATTTCTTCTCTCATAAAGGGACATGTCGCACCAATCACTAACGACACTTGAACACGCAAAAAACAAGCCCTCTTCAAGATGAATCGATCATCGTACTTTCACTAAAGAAAGTGGTCAGACCGGCAGTTTGCGCGCGCAAAATTTAAAAAAATTCTAATTTTCATTCAACTTCTGAACTTACCCAAAAAGCGAGCCTCATGATCCGTGAGTCACTGTCACTTTACAAAAATTTAAAAAAAGAAGGTTCACAGCACAGGCGCGGGCGCGCGCGCTTCACTCACAACTGAGGCAAAAGGCCCGCTGCATACAGCCTCCCCGCCAAAGAAAGTCAACCAACCTTCACATTCGTGGATTATGTAAAGTTGGGCAAAAAAGACAGCGCAAGTGCATTATGTATATAATGGTACCATGTGAGGTCTGGGGGTTACGAAAACATGGAGACTTTTGTAGACAAACACACCTGTCAGGCAACTACAAGAGATTATATACATTTATCTTTGATTTTGAATGTTGAGAAGATTGACTAGCTGATAAAGATTGCATTTGAATGCTGTTCAATTTGTCATATACAATACCAAGGTTAATTTCGTATCAATTTGTTTTATGATTAAGATTTTGTTTACATTTTTAATTTCCGATGCAAATAGAGGGGAGTTATAAGATTGAAGGCCTCATCTGTGTGTCATCATAGCACCCGAACTGCTCTTACGGCGATTTTTTTTATTTGAAGGGTAATTTAAAGGGATGGTACTTAATTAAGTTTGATTAAAATCCGTTACACTTAATATTTTGGTATATTAGGGAGCATCGAATTTCGTTATGTAAGCATTGCTGCGTTCCGGTTTGGAAGGGTAAGAGTGCAGGTGAAATTACAGTCTGGATTTGTCAACATAATGTCACAGGGTGACGGGCGCAGAGGCAGTGCCCCTTAGAATAATAACGCATAGAACATTGACTTACAAATAAATGGACGACGGGTCTAATACAAAAACCACGAAAAAAATGTCCCAAGTCAACCTATTCGAAATTTAAATTGTAATGTCATCGCAGTATCGCGCTGTCAGTAGAACAAATGAAGACTAAAGCGGAGTTTGGCGCTCTGTATACGATTTTAGCGCCTTACAAGTGCGGACACTTTTTAGCGCGGACCCGGCGTCCATATAATTGTAAGTCAATGCATAGAATGATAGTTTCATATCAAACGAACTGTCACAAGTGAGGCAAAAATCAAATTCATGTAGGCTAGTTTTAGTAGTAGGCTAATTTTCGGTTTTAGTGAATATTTATATAGAAATACAAGTTGAAACGCGTTACTTCCTTGTGGAATGTGATGTTAGTATCTATTTTATGTTTGTCTGACGTATTTTTACACTCATTTACCGCACATTTCGTCATTTTTAGCTAAAATTCTTGATCTGTTCGCGGTGCAAGTTGACCTTGAGCACTGAAGGCCCGCCCGCTCGTGTAGGCCCATTGGGCGCGCTTCAATTTGCCTCACTTAGCGTGAGCGGACTAGGTTTCTATGCGTTATTATTCTAAGCAGTGCCCCTAGATCTTTGCGATTTAAAGCTCAGAGTGGCACTGCAATTGTTATAGATAGGCGTGTCGCTTACCACCAAGCGGACAACTTGTTCGTCCCGTCCACGTCCCGTCACTTGGTATTATATATGTCGGAGTATAATTTAGTAGCAGTAGACAGCCTTGTGAAAGAGTTCGTCCAGGGAAATACTGCCTCCTTACCTATTTCTGCCGCCAAACAGTAATGTGACTAATGACTACAACGAAACAAACATCGATAATCTAACTTAAATCTAACTAAAATATCAATTCAATAAAAAATTAACGTCAGATTAGTTAAATTTAGAACGACTTGTCAAACTTCCTCTGCCCCGCCGAAAAACTGACACTTACAATTTTTTTTTTTATTAATTTATTTCTGGCCATAGAAACAAAGTCCTTCAGCCGAAAACATAAAAATAAGTTTGTCTGTAAATATGGCCGCCACAAAGAGGATAGGCAAATTGAGGCGGCGTGCTTGGATTGACGCGGGATTCCTTAGAACGGGCCGATACGGGTATTTTAGTTCGAGATTCGTATAATTTCGCGTTTTAATCTTCGATTAAGGCACAATAGCACTATCCTATTCCACTTTAAACTAGATTTCACAAAATAATTGAAAGTCAAAATAAAAACGACACTTTTCCCTCCAAAAGGTCCAGAGCGAATCCTCTGACACTTACAATTCCATTCGGTGTTACTCGCTCTAAAGTAATAATAACTACAATCACTGATTTAGCGAATAAATCAATGACTCGGTATTTTTATGTTCAGTAATCAACTATTTTGATAACGCGCCGTAAAAAATGGTCTGTAGACTACTTAATGCTTTGGCCACACAGAGCGATCGCGGAAGCGTACAGGGCGCGAGAATTTTTGTCGCGCGTTTCAGAGTGGCAGGGTTCATATGAACTCAATGAAAATTTGAAGAAAATATTTCAAATCTACGGGTGGCAAACTCGGGGATGAATGATTTGATTGAAAGGTCGGTTTTTTAGTACTCACTACTGACATTATTTACTGTAATAATGTATATAATTAATTCGTATATGAATTCTGATACGCAATTTGTTTTTAAAATATATCTACCTACATTATTATAATACGTACTAACTAAATCACTGCTGTCTTTAAAAATGAATACCGAAAGGAATGTGTTAAATTTAATATAAACAAAATATTGTGACAAAGCAATAAAAATTTTAATAATTAACCATTTATAGGTAGAATTTTAAATTAAATTACTTGATTGTATAAAACTGTGAATAACTTCATTAGAATAATAAGAATAAAAGAAAAGCTTAAGTTTTACGTAACCATTTCCTGCTGCAATGTAACGTTAGAAAGTTAATAAAACTTTTTAAATAAGTTTGGAATGACCGTAAAAACTGTTTTTGTGTGTTTAATTGACAAATTATTATACATAACTAGTTATCCTGTAACAGGTATATGAAGCGAGGGAGGGTGAAGAAAGACGCTTGGAGTCTCCAAATGCACAACGGCTTTTATTGATGTAGTAAGTAGTTGTATGATCGACATATGAGACGTAATTAGTACGATATATCGTTCATAAATATCGATGTTTTAACATCGATGTTGAAACCCAAAACATTGTTAATACATCACTCACCATAAGTGATATTTTATTAACGATGTTTTATCAAAGCGCCATCGTCTGTCCGGTCCGTGATCTACAGCTACACACTTAGACAGATACTTCTCTCAGTCATAAGCGCAGATTTTTCTATTTAGCATTTCGTTCGCTCTACAATAAAAACTTACGCGCGCAAAAACCTCCTATAATAATATAAATTTGATTATTGTACTTATTTGTTTAATTTCTGTTAAAAAATAGTTTTTATTCGATATATAGGCAGGGTAAGGTTGCGTTAGTCGTAGCCCCTAAGAAAAAACCGTTGTAATATTTTAGGTTATTTAAGTTAAACAAAACCTTTAGCGTCTTATTTACTATCAATGTGTTTTAATGGAAATACGAAAAACTTTTATTGAAAAAGGTAGTGACAAGTTTTTCAAAGAAGCGCCTTTGGCACCTGGTCGCCTAATTCGTATCACCTACAACCTAAGTCGTACTTGAATACCTAACACTTCACTCAGGACGTCATAAACTGTATAGTACAGTACTAGTAAAAAGAGATCATAATATCAATTAAAATCTAGAAATAGGTACTAAGGTCTAAAGGGTTAAAATCAAAGAATTCTTAATATCTTTGAAGGGAGAGAACAATCCCAAAATCTCATGTGTGGGGGAACACAGAAAACAAAAATTTTTAACTCTTAAGAAATAGAATTATGAATTGTATTGTAACAAAATTGGAATTTCTTCAGAAATAAAAGTATAAATTGTAATGAAATAAAATTAACATGCTTCAGTAATCAAGCAAAAGGCATATTATATAATTTATTTATTTAAAGAAACATACAGCTTACATATTACATAAATGTTTTGTTTACCTATTAAATATTAAATTTAGCCAAATTTTGTTTCCAATGATACATAATTCACAAAGTGAAGGCCGAAAGCACTTAATCTACTACACAATGACAAAATTCTGTAAACAATGGCCTAACCAAATGACAAAGCTCTAAACAAGTTTAAAAAAATTGAGACAATTATTGCAGAAAAGAAATAATTACTTAATTTATTAACTAAAATCTACTTTTTTAACATTTGACAAAAACAATTTAGTTTACAGGTAAATATATCGATGTGGTGGTAACGATCATTATAAGATTTACATGCTCTGATTAGAAACCTATTCCCAGCGTAGTTAGTACTGCAAATAAAGGCACTTCAAAATTAGTTTTGTTGAAGACAAATATCACAAATATATTATTTAAGTACCGGTACGATTAAGGAATTTTCCACGGGTACGACTTAAGCAACGACACTCTGAAAATTTCAAATCAAAATTACTGTTATAACATAAAAAAATGTGCCGTTTGCTTGTGATTAAACAAATGCTAAAATACGCCAAAAATAGTCGAATACCAAAAAAATAAGTTTACCACCACATTTCTACTTGTAATAGCTTCCGAATGATTGAGAAATTTTAAAGAAAACAGTGCAAAAACTTACTTTTTCATATTTTTCCCAACACGAACGTCGGCTGGCCGCCGGTTTGTTTTTGTTTACTCGCTTCACGTAATAGTTCAAATTTATATTACTAGATATTACTTCCCACGCATGTGAGACCAGATATCGCTGGAGTACAACTTAGGTGGTGGTACGACTAACGCAACCCTATATGTCACCGTAAAATTGTGAACTCTGTCAGTTTATAATATAACGTGTGAGATTATAAACTAACGGTAGGTTAGGTGAGATTGTAATCTATCAACGTGCGATTACAAATTGCAGGAGTTCACAGTTTTACGGTTCTATTTTTTAAACGTATTCGCGCTTTGATCCCAACGCCATCTAGCGGCAAGGCGAGGTTACTAATATTTCTTATACGTGGTGTTACGATCTAAATTTTTTAAACAGGCAAAAATAAATATAACAAACCGTGAAATAGAACTACAACTATAAATTAAAATAAAGACCGTTGGAATACTCATGACCCCATATAACTACTTAAACGACTTTAATATCTAGGTTATGTACATTTTTGAGTGTTTAATAGCAAAACATTTCGCTAACGGTAAAATCAAAGTAAAGTCAAACAATCTTTATTTCATAGGTAAGCAAATTA